TAACCTCCATGTTTTTGGAGGTTTTCCAGACTTCTTCCTGTGATTGATTTCAAGTTTCATAGCATTGTGATCTGAAGGTGTGCATGGTATGATCTCAGTTCTTTTATATTTATTGAGGGCTGCTTTATGTCCCGCTGTGTGACCTTTCTTGGAGAATGTGCCATGTGCACTTGAGAAGAAAGGGAATTCCCTGGCCTCTGGATGTAGAGTTCTAAATATATCTTTCAGATCCATCTGGTCCAATGAGTCTTTCAAGTCTATTGTTTTTTTAGTGATTTTCTGTCTGGTTGATCTACACATTGCTGTAAGTGGAGTATTAACGTCCCCTACTATTAGCACATTCTTATCTATAAGATTTGTTCTGTTTGTGATTGTTTTATTTTATTTTATTTTAATTTTTATTTATTTCTGGGAGAGAGAGACAGCGTGAGCAGGGGTGGGTCAGAGAGAGAGGGAGATACAGACTCTGAAATAGGCTCCAGGCTCTGAGCTGGCAGTCAGCACAGAGCCCGACGCGGGGCTCAAACGCACGAACCACGAGATCATGACCTAAGCAAAAGTCGGAAGCTTAACCGACTAAGCCACCCAGGCGCCCCTGTGATTGTTTTAAATATTTAGGTGCTCCCATATTCGGTGTGTAGACATTTATAATTGTTTGTTCTTCCTGATGGATAGTCCCTGTAATTATGATATAATGTCCTTATTCATCCCGTATTATTGTCTTTAATTTAAAGTCCAGTTTGTCTGATGTAAGTATAGCTACTCCAGCTTTCTTTTAACTTCCCGTAGCATGATAGATATTTCTCCACCCTGTTACTTTTAATCTGAAGGTATCTTCCAGTCTAAAATGCGTTTCTGGTAAACAGCAAATAGATGGATTTTGTTTTTTTATCCATTCTTCCACCCTATGTCTTTTGATTGGAGCATTCAGCCCATTTACATTCAGTGTTATTATTGAAATATGTGGGTTTAGAGTCATTGTGTCCTTTGTGGGATTCATGCTTGTGGTGGTGTCTCTGGTATCTTGCGTTTCTTGCCAACACTTCCCTCAGAGAGTCCCCCTCAGGATTTCTTGTAGGGCTGGTTTAGTGGTGACAAATTCATTCCATTTTTGTTTATTTGGAAAGACTTTTATCTCTCCTTCTGTTCTGAATGACAGGCTTGCTGGATAGAGGATTCTTGGCTGCATATTTTTTCTGTCATCACATTGAAGATCTCCTGCCATTCCTTTCTGGCCTGCCAAGTTTCAGTAGATAGGTCTGTACTCACTCTGATAGGTTTCCCTTTGTATGTTAGGGCCCTTTTATCCCTAGCTGCTTTCAAAATTCTCTCTTTGTCCTTCTATTCTGCCAGTTTCACTATGATATGTTGTGCAGATGATCAATTAACATTATGTCTGAGGGGCGTTCTCTGCCTCTTGAATTTCAACTCCTATTTCCCTCTCCAGGTTAGGGAAGTTCTCTGCTATAATTTGTTCCAGGACTCCTTCAGCACCTTTCCCTCTTTCTTCCTCTTCTGGAATTCCTGTGATACGGATATTGTCCCGTTTGATTGTATCGCTGTGCCCTCAAACTCTTCTTTCATGTTCCTGGATCAGTTTATCTCTCTTTTTCTCAATTTCCTCTTTTTCTATAATAATGTCTTCTAAATCACTTATTCTCCTTTCTCTTTCTTCAGTCCGTTAATTGGACACCTCCAGTTTATTATGTATTTCATTTATCCCATGTTTTAATTCACCAAAACTATTTTTAAGCTCCATATTGTTTGTAGCCATAGTTTCTCTGATGTCCTCCATGCTTTTTTCAAGCCCGGCGATTAATTTTATGATTATTGATCTAAATTCTTGTTCACTTATGCTACTCATATCTGTTTTGAGCAGTTCGTTAGCTGTCATTTCTTCTTTTAGTTTCTTTGGAGGAGAGTTCTTCTGTTTCCTCATTTTGGTTAGCTTTCTATCTCTTGTTAATTTTAAAAGCTTGTTGTACACATGGCCCCTGAGAGTTCTGCTGTATTAGAGAGGGCTCTTTTGACTATTCAGGGCCTGTCTGTTCAGGAAGTGTTCTTTGGATTGATGTCTCTTGCTTTCTCTTGTTGAGACTTTGGTCATTTTGTTTCCCTACTGGTAGTGGTATTTGGGACTCTCCACCATGTGTAGTTTGGCTTGTTTCTTGAGGTAGCCCTGGAAAAAGAAAACAGACAACCACAGAGGGAACACAGGTACACAAATGCACAGACAAAGCCAATAAACACGCAAACCCAGGCTCAGGTAAAAACAGCTACAACAGCAACAGAACAGCTATCTGGAGGGAATGGGTATGGTTAGGTGTAGGCAGGTCTTGTCTCCACTGTGTCTACGGGCTTCCCTGAGGCCCCTCCTTGGTGTTTGTGGGGAGAAGAATTGTGTCTCCCCAGTCCCTTCTCAACCAAGCGTTGCATATCACTTCTTCTGTCCAATCTCCCTGTGCTGAGGATGTAGCCAAGGTGGGCTGAGTTCTGTGCCCCACACCCCGCCTGTTTCCAGGTCCCAGGCCGTGGGCTTTGTTATACTGCCCTGAACTGTCCTGCAGGTCACTGCTTCCCTGTTGCCTGGGGGTTGAGTGGGGGGGTGGGGGAAGTGTCGCAGCCTCAGATCTGCCGGGGTCAAGCAGGGATACAACCCCAGTGCGTTCGGGTAATGTAGCAACTTCAGGTCCGTAGAGTCCATGTCGCTGTAGCGCACCGCCGCTGCTTCAGCGGGCCGCTGTTGCACACCGCTGTCGCTTTACCGGGCGCTGGCACCGCCACCGCTGCCGCCGTCGTTTCAGCAGGCCACTTCAGGCGCCGGGACCGCCTCCACAGGCCTTGCTGCCAGTTCACCTGGCCGAGGCTGCCATGATGGTGCTGGGCGTACGGCAGTTCAGGTTTTCCTGGCACCTTCTGGGACCAGGGCACCTAGTTTAAAGTCAGCACCTGAGCCAGAGCTAAAAAACACTGTCTTTCCAAGCCGAGGTTTTTCCTCTTCTCCAGGGATGGTTCTGTGAGCAATCTCAGCTTTTCTTTCCTTTCCCCTGGACTCGTGGCAGCTCACCACCACTTGCTGGTTTATCACTTACCGCAGCTGCATGCAAGCCGGATTCCCTCCCCTCCCTCCCTATCTCTGGGTCCTGTCCTGCTTTTATCTTCCCCAGTTCACATTCACGCACTTAATAGGTTTCCTTCCCAGTGTACTCTCTTTCTCTTCCCAAACTCCTGTGGCTCAGTGTCCTATGACTTCAGGCCTTCTCTGTTTGAGAGATGGGTGCAGGCGCAATGTACGGAGCTCCTTACTTCTCTGCCGTCTTGCCTTCAACCTTTGATAATATATTTTCTGTTTCAAAGGAAGAATTTTATTAAGGAAAACATTTTTAAGTTTATTTATTTATTTTGAGAGAGAGAGAGAGAATGCATTCACTTGGGCAGGGCAAGGAGAGAGAGAGAATCCCAAGCAGGCTCCATTCTGTCAGCACAGAGCCCAACGCAGGACTCAATCTAACAAACCATAAGATCATGACCTGATCCTAAATTAAGAGTGTACACACTTAACTGAATGAGCCACCCAGGCACCCCTCAAAGGAAGAATTTCAATTCACTAATCTTCTCTGGCTTTATTACTTCATCATGAAAAGATGATTCTCATGTGATTACCTGTATCTTTGTTTCAGTACTGTCATGTCATAGTTTAATTATTCAGGAAGTCTTTGAACTAGAGTATGAATTACTGTTTACTTTGGTCACTCTCTACACATACCTCCTCTTTAAGGATACTAGTGGTATAGAAGCACATTTTTCAAATAAACGTACCTTTATTCAGTATAAATTGCTAATGCAAGAGTAGTATCTTGGCATGTCTTAAGTCATAGGATTCAGATTTCAGATTTTTAAAATACTGAAAGAACAAGCATATATCAACACAGTAATTATAATTCAGTACTTAAAAATAACATGATTTACTGTAATACAGAGAACCCCAATGACAGTCACTAATTTAAACAAATAAGGAAAATCCAACAATATTGAATGTTATCCTATTTTATCCTCATTTGTCTCTGCTTTTAAAATATACTCTACTAGGGGCACCTGGGTGGCTTGGTTGGTTAAGCATTCCACTTTGGCTCAGGTCAGATCTCATGGTTCCTGAGTTCGAGCTCCATGTCAGACTCCATGCTGACAGCTGGGAGCCTGGAGCCTGCTTTGGATTTTGTCTCCCTCTCTCTCTACCCGTCCCTTGCTTGTACTCTCTCTCTCAAAAATAAGCAAACATTAAAAAATAAAACATAAATATCCTCTATTATTACCTTTTCTAGGTATGAGAGCCCCTTCTTTTACATTGGAGAGCCATGTTTGAAGGTAGCTCCAAGGAAATCCAACAGTTGATACAAAATAAACAAAATGCAAGTGATATTTAACAGTGTCCAGAAGGCATTTGGTTTTTTACCATTTCTAATTCGCATAATTTTATATGGACTTCAGCAAGCCGCTTGTAATTTTTTCAAAATTTCACATATAATATGCAGAAGTGCAGGCTAGATACAGTAAAAATCAGATAAGTGACTGCTTATTGTAAAGACAGACTCTGTCCTTTGCTTTGTTGAGGTCTCCCACCCCATTTGATATATTGCTGGATTGGATTTACAGACTTTTCTTTAACAACGTGAAAAAAAAAATGTTGTACAGGGAACCTCAGAAAATAAAACAAGTTTTATAGAGTGAACTAGCTAAGGTGTGACCAGTGGAGGAGGGGTTAACCCTGGGAATCACAGCCTGTTGGTCTTTTCCTCTTCTACCTGAACAGTTCATGGGCCCTTCTGAGAGCACAGTTTGGAAAGTACTGTAGCTTGTGACATACACAGGGGTTTCCAACCCCAAGGACTTTTGGCAGCTGATCATTTGTGAACCAGTGATGGTGATAATTTTTTGACCTCCTTATTTAAGAATTTTTAAAAATGTGTAATGTATACTTATGCTCTTTTTTTTTTTTACAGGAAAAATTTATTCCTGTTTTGTGTTCTACATCTTCAGCTTCTATAAATTCCCTACTGAGAGATCGTCGTGCTTATGATAGGGATGCCACTGCTGGAGCATCTAAAATAGTGATGTCTACAGGTAAATTAGTATTTTTTAAAGGGTATAAAATTACTAATTCTTTTACTCTGTGTTATTTTAATGTCTTTGAAGTTTAAGGAATAAAATAAGAGGAAAACAAGGTGCTGATAATATACTTTTTTAGCATTTTTCACATTAAAGTTTTTAAATTCCAGTTATTCGTTTTGATGTTAAGGAAAAACTTTAAATACACAAATCATTTGAAAATTCAGTACTCTTAAAGTATTTTATCCTAAGATTTACAAAGTTACATCATTGTCAAATCTGTTTTTGTTTTCCTTTATTTCACAATGTTTTTTTGTCTTATATGTAATTTTAAAACTACCTCAAATCTTTTTAAAATGCCTTTTAAAATCTCGACAGATCCTTGCCTGTCAAGGGGCATGATGACTTTAAATTATTCTCTGTTATGTGAAGAGTATGAAAGGGCACAGACCTTGATTGAACAATTCCCCTTTTATTTGTCATCTCATGTATGTTTTCTTGTTCTCTTCCTATTTTTCAAAGCCTATACTATTACTTTTTCTCCTAGATCTTTATCTCCCTTATAGTTTTCTGTTCTATTGACTTTTCTCCCAATTATACTTTCCTCACTAAACAGAGATTATGTTTTTGAAATAGAATAGGTCATCTTAAAAAGATTATTATAACATACTCAGTTTATTATGTCTGATTTTTAGTTCCTTAGCAGGAAAGACTAAATGAGTATAATGCAAAGGAGACAAAACATTGAAATGTTTTTTTAACTTCGCTTGTGTGCAGTAGGATTTTGTCCTTGCCATCAACACCATGGCTTAAGATTTTTTTATACTGTTTGTTTATTTTTGAGAGAGAGGCATGCACGTTCATGGAGGAGGGACAGAGTGGAGGGAGACACAAAATCCAAAGCAGGCTCCAGGCTCCAACTGTCAGCAGAGCCTAGTGTAGGGCTTGATCTCACCAACTGAGATCATGACCTGAGCTGAAGTCAGGACGCTTAACTGACTGAGCCACCGAGGTGCCCCACCATGGTTTAAGTTTTTAATGGCTGTTTCACTTCTGCGATAAGAGTCCATCCTTCCTCTGGCTGTTGCCACAAAGTTGAATTATCATATATTTCAAAATAGTGAAAGTGAAATTAGTGGGGTTTTATATTGTACTGAATATAGACTATATAAAATTGGGCAGTATAAATTAAGTGATGAATGAAAATAATGTGCTTCTTGATTTAGGGGGACAGTATATTTTATGTTTGGTAATAATAGACCTTCATATTGTTATATTGTATGTTGATTTATATTGATGGATTCTCAGTGAAGAACTGTTATGGAAACATGACATTTGAGTGATTAGAGATGATTTGCTTCTCATTCATATGCTTGGGGCACCTGAGTGGCTCAGTAGGTTAAGCCTCCGACTCTTGATTTCAGCTCAGGTCATGATCTCACAATCTGTTAGATCAAGCCCCATGTTGGGCTTTGTGCTGACAGGACGGAGCCTACTTGGGATTCTCTCTCTCCCTCTCTCTGCCCCACTCCCACTCCCACTCTCTTTCTCTCTCAAAATAAGTAAATATTTTAAAAATATAAACCATATGCTTTTATTATGTTATACTATAGTATAATGTACTGTACTATTTTCCTTATTTTACTAAGGAAAGCAGTCATTTTTGGATTTTCTTCAGTGAACCTTGGCATGTATATAAAGACCATTTTCATTTTCCTTAAGTTAATGAAAAAAATTACTCTAGGTTATTAGAACTTACTGGGTGGCATGTATCTTAAATTATTTGGTTACTTTAGAAAGCATAATGAAGGTACAGTGTTGGTGATTTAAAATAACTTCAGTCTAAGAAGGAGTTTTGACCAATTTTGAAAGAAAATTCTTATACTGTGTGTACAGTTAAAAGGTGAAAATATTTATCTTCATACCATCTTATGTGATGTGGGAATGTGTGAAGAATTGTTTTATGATGCAACTAAAACTTGGATAGTTTTTATTATAATAAGTTTAGGCAAAATTCTAGAAAATTGAATAAGCATTTGGATTATTTCTTTCTAGATTTAATATCTTTATACAAATTGTGAAAGGATATTTACATATGTATTTTTAGGTCGCAGAAATGATCATTGATATTACCTATATTTGGGTTCTCTTTGAAGTGTGGTTAGTGGGATATAGTAATTAATTATGTGGTGTTTATGTTGCTTTTAACCAATCTGTTATTTTTGTATACGCCTCTTTCCTCAAGTCTGTGTCTATGTAAACAAACATGGAGACTCTGGTCCTCACCTGGATCAGAAGAAAATCCAGCAGCTGCCTGACCACTTTGGTCCAGGCCCAGTGAATGTGGTCCTCCGGAGGACTGTGCAGGCCTGTGTGGATTGTGCCTTTCAAAGTAAGACTGTTTTTGGATTTCTTAAGCCAGATCATCGTGGAGGAGAAGTGATAACTGGTATGCTCATCTAATCGTTTATTCAGCTTTTCTTCCAAATTTGATTTTAGGTTTTGAGAAGGCAAGGATTTTATAATATATAAATTCTTTTATAATACTTATAGTCTATGAGGTATTTATAATATTGGCATATTTATATTGATATAGTAGACTATTTATAATAATTTCATGTTTACAGACTTTTATCTCTGGTTTGAAAAGTTTATATTCAAAATAGATAAATCATGTCAGAGTCATACTCTAAATTGAAGTAAAAGATTTTTTTGTACATGCTTTATTAAGTTCACTATAGACAAATTACTTTGGTTGATAATATATTTTAATGTTTTTAGAGAACAGATTGATCTATAAGAAGCTCTAAATGAAAATGTGATTCAAGAAGTGCTTAGGAGATAAGATACAGCTGGCTTTCTTGATTGTCTGATCAGATACTATATTTATACCCACAGAATGCTTGAAATACCAGGAAGTGTTACAGATCATTGGGTTGCTTCTGCTGTTATTGTTGTTTGCCTTATGAATACTTTTAAATGAGAATGCTTTTGCCAATACTGGCTCTTATGTTTGAATGAGAGGAACTTTAAGGTTATTCTTTTATAAATTGCAAAAACTACAAATTACATTTATAATACATTCCCTATATTTCTGGCTTTTTTTTTTTTTTGATGTTGTAGTTTCCATCTTTCTATGATGTAACTGATACCTCTTTTCATCCCAATAGCCTCCTTTGATGGGGAAACTCATTCTGTCCAGCTGCCCCCAGTGAACAGTGCATCATTTGCTCTTCGCTTTCTTGAGACCTTGTGCCACAGCTTGCAGTGTGATAACCTTTTGAGTAGCCAGCCTTTTAGCTCTTACAGAGGTAATACTCAGAGTCCTACAGAGCTTGATAAAAGTGTACCAGGTGAGAGAAAATATAAAATTTTATACTGTGCTTCTGGGTTTATATTACATTTTATAATTAGCTTGAGAATCTTGTGTAATTCAGTTTTTCCTTGTGTCCTCCTCAGAGTAGCCACAATGAACTAGTTAGACATATATAATATATAGTTTTTCTTCATTCAAAACAAGAAAATCAATTCTTATATTTATAATGAACTTGAGCATCAAAACCTGAAAAGTATTCCATGGTTTGATTTGCATTTCCCTAATGGCTGAGGTTATTTATTAGCATGTTTTCATGTACTTACTGGCAATTTGTGATCTTTGGAGAAATGTCTATTTAAATCCTTTGTCTATTTTTAATTGGGTTCTTTGTTTTTTAATTATGTAGAAATATATTGTTCTTGGTATATATTATATTGTATTTGTTATATATAAAGAGTCTTTATATATTCTGCATACAAGTTCCATATCAGAAACATTGCTTATATTTGTCCTTTCACTTTCTTTTTTGTTTTTTTTTTTTTAATTTTTTAAAATGAAAGTTTAAGGTATTGGCTTTTTTTCTTTTAATTTTTACATGTTTTTTATTTATTTCTGAGAGAGAGAGAGACACACACAGTGTAAGCAGGGGAGGGTCAGAGAGAGGGGGAGACGCAGGATCCGAAGCAGGCTCCAGGCTCTGAGCTAGCTGTCAGCACAGAGCCCAATGCGGGGCTCGAACCCACGAACCATGAGATCATGACCTGAGCTGAAGTCGGGCGCTTAACCGACTGAACCACCCAGGCACCCCTCAAAAAATTTTTTTTAATGTTTTATTTATTTCTGAGCGAGAGAGAGAGAGCATGAGCAGGGGAGGGTCAGAGAGTGAGGGAGACACGGAGTCTGAAACAGGCTTCAGGCTCTGAGCTAGCTGTCACAACAGAGCCTGACGTGGAGCTCGAAGAGATGTGAGATCATGACCTGAGCCGAAGTCCGACGCTTAACCGACTGAGCCACCCAGGCGCCCCTGTCCTTTCACTTTCTTGATGGTGTCCTTTGAAGCACAAAACGTTTTAATTTCAGTGAAGTCCATTTTATCAATTTTTTTCTTTCGTTTCTTTTACTTTTGGTGTTGTACCTAAGAAAATACTCCTTAGTAAAAGTTCACAAAGATTTACCCCTATATCTTCTCCTAATAATTTTATAGATGTAGCTTTTATATTTAGGTTATTGCTTTATTTTGAATTGATTTTTCTACATACAATGAGGTAGGGGTCCGATTTCATTCTTCACATGGGGATATCTAGTTGTCCCAGCACATGATTTGTTAAAAGAGTACTCTTTCCCTATTGACTTGTCTTTGCACCCTTGTCAAAATGTATGGATTTATTTCTGGACTTTGTATTTCATTGATCTGTATGTGAATCCTTATGGCAGTACCACACTGTCTTGGTTACCATAGCTTTTTTGTAGTAAGTTTTGAGATTGGGAAGTATGAGTTTTCCAATTTTGTTCTCCTTTTTCAAGATCATTTAGCCAAGTCTGGGTTTCCTCATGAATTTTAAAATCAGCTTGTCCATTTCGGCCAAGAAACCACCTGGGATTTTAATACAGACTGTGTTGAATCTGTAATCATTTTAGGGATTATTGCCCTCTAATAAAATTGAGTCTTCTAGTTCATGACATGGGATGTCTATTTAGGTCTTACCTAATTTCAACAATATTTTGTAGTTTTCAGAAGGGACATCTAGCACTTCTTTTGATAAATTCATCCTGAAACATTTAATTCTTCTTAACACTATTGTAAATGGAATTCTTTTCCTAATTTTTCGATTGTTCATTGGAAGTGTATGTAATTGGAACATTTTTTTAAACTTTTTTTTAATGTTTTATTTATTTTTGAGAGAGAGATAGAGACAGCATGAGCAAGGGAGGGTCATAGAGAGAGGGAGACACAGAATCCGAAGCAGGCTCCAGGCTCTGAAGTAGCTGTCAGCACAGAGCCTGATGCGGGGCTCGAACCCACGAACCGTGAGCTCATGACCTGAGCCAAAGTTGGATGCTTAACTGACTGAGCCACCCAGGCGCCCCAATTGGAACATTTTTTAAATCCATTCTACTAATCTGAATTTTTTTATTGGAGTATTTATCTCCTGCATAGTTAATATAATTACTGATAAGGTAGGATTTATTTATTTTTTATTCATTCATTCATAAGATAGGATTTGCATCTACAATTTTGTTGTTTTCTGTATGTCTTAGGTTTCTTTTTGTCTTTTCTTCAATTACTTTCTTTTTTTGTTGTTTGAAATAGATGGTTTCTTATATGCCATCTTAATTCTCTTTCCCTTTTAGTAAATTTATTGAGTTCTTTTCTTTCTTTCTTTCTTTCTTTCTTTCTTTCTTTCTTTCTCTCTCTCTCTCTCTCTCTCTCTTTCTCTCTCTCTCTGTCTCTCTCTTTCTCTCTCTCTCTTTCTCTCTCTCCCTCTCTCTCTCTCTCTCTCTCTCTCTCTGTTTCTTTCTTCCTTCCTAACTTCCTTCCTTCCTTCCTTCCTTCCTTCCTTCCTTCCTTCCTTCCTTCCTTCCATCTGTCCGTCCGTCCGTCCAGGGGTTATTTTCTTGGTAGTTGCCTTAGGGATTACAATTAACATCTTAATTTAAAACAATCTAGTTTGGATTAATACCAACTTAATTTTAATATTATGCAAAAACTTTGCTCCACTACAGCTGTGTTTTCTGTCCTTTCTTTGTTCTTTTATTGCCAAATTATGTTTTATACATTATAAGCCCCCAAGTACAATTTTCTAATTATTGTTTTTTATTACCATATTTTTAAAGTAAGCTTTCTGCCCATCATGGATCTTGAACTCATGACCCTGAGGTCAAGAGCTGCATGCTCTACTTACTGAGCTATCCAGGTGCCCCTAGTTGTTCTTTAAAAGGAAGGAGAAGAAAAGATTTATAAACACTAATCTATTTACTGGTACTCTTTGTTTTTTTAATGTGGATTTGAGTTGCTGTCGAATGTCATTTCATTTCTTGTAGGGTAAGCTATTTAAGTGAGGAATTTTCTCACTTTTGTTTAAGGAATTTCTCATTTCTCCTTCATTTTTTAAAGGTTAGTTTTGCTGTATGTCTTATTCTTAGTTGACGTTTTTTGTCAATTTGAATGTCATCCCACTTCCTGCTAGCCTCTGTAATTCCTGATGAAGTCCCTGAAGGCAGTTGTTAATCTTACTGAGGATCCCTTGTATGTGATGACTTGCTTTTTTCTTGCTGATTTTGAGATTCTCTTTGTTTTTTGCTTTTGATAGTTTGACTGTGTTTTTTCTAGTATGTGGATATCTTTGAATTTTTCCTAGTTGGGGATTGTTGAGGTTTTTGGATATTAGGATCAATGTTTTTCATCAAATTTGGGAAACATTTAGCCATTATTTTTTCACATGTTCTTTTTGTCCTTTACTCTCTGTCGCCTCTCCTTCTGAAACTCTTTCATTATGTGTGTTTGGTGTCCTTGATGATATCCCACAGGTTTCTGGGGTCTGTTCATTTTTCCTCATTCTTTTTTCTTTCTGTTCCTTAGACTGTATAATCTCATTTGACCTTTCTTTAAATTTCCTGATTCTTTCTTGTGCTAGTTCAAATCTGCTGTTGAGTTCCTCTAGTGAATTTTTTGTTTCATCCATACTACTTTTTAAGTCCTAAATTTCAATTTCATTCTTTTTTGTAATTTTTATATTGATGGTCTCTATTCAGTGAGACATTGTTCTCATAATGTCCTTTGGTTTTTTAGACATTATTATTATTATTATTATTATTTTAGTTCTTTGAACATAAATAAAATCACTGATTTAATGTCCTTGTATACTAAGTCCAGTATCTGGGCTTCCTCAGAGGCAGTTTCTACTGACATATTTTCCCTTGTATTACAGGGCCATACTTGTCTGTTTCTCTGCATGTCTCCTAATTTTTACTTGAAAACTGGGCATTTAAAAATAGGGTAAAGTCGTAACTCTGAAAATCAGCTTTTTTCTCCTTCCCTACGGTTTGTTGTTGCTGGTGCTGTTTGTATAGTGACTTTCCTGGACTAACTTCATGACTTCCTGGGCTCATTTGTTATATGTGGTCACTGAAGTCTGCTCATTTAGCTTTTAGCATTCAGCAAATGATTGGACAGGGCTTTCCGTAAATGCCTGCAACTGGTCTTTTTCCCATTCTTTGCCATGTAGTTCTGTGTATATGCTGAAATTTACCTTGAATGTTCCAGGAGGCAGTTTATAAGTCTGCTTTGTGCAGAGTCTCAAGGTTAGCAAGAAATGAAAGATTAAGACCTTCTTAGGTCTTTCCTGGGCATATGTACAGCCTTGCACATGCATGTGGCCTTCTAGATTCCCAGGAATATCTCCATGCTTTTCAAAGTCTCTTAATGGACATTTTATTCTCCAGGGTTTTGTTGGTTTGTTTTGTTTTGTTTTAAAGCATTTCAGTCAGCTTCTTGTGAGCCCTAACTGGTAATGCTGGCTCTGGCAGCTGCATTGTTAAATAATTGCTACTGTGGGGTGTTTTGCTTTGATTTGTTTTTTGAGCAATGTCTTTGAGATAGGGCTGTTCACACAGAGCATGCTCTGATTTAGGTTATTCAAATAAAACAAGCCCTGAGATCAGAGCTTTTCACTGAGCTTCAAGATTGGTCAAATAGTGACAGTTCTCTGGGGACAGTGCCTTTTGAGAGCTCCAAACCCATTGTGCTGCCTCCGGTGACTACTAGGCTGCTGGTTTTCATAGCTCCAGTAGCTGTGAAGCTGTTGGCTTACAGAGCTGCTGCAAAACGGAGTGAAGGGCATGATGTTAGGGAAGCTAAAATGGCACAGAATTTACTGTTCTTTCTGACATTTGGCCATTTTTTTCTTGATTAAATGCTTTTTTCAGTTGTTGTAAGCCTTTACTTGATGTCCAGAGTTTTGGGAAAAGGTAATTTTGCCAGTGTCTTTATTATTTTTATGAAGAAATGGATTTTTGGAGGTCCTTAATCAGTCATCCTGGAAGTACCTTTCTTTGATGACTTTTAAATCACTTTGTAAATTACTGGCTTTTTCTAGTTATCTCTGCAGGAACAATTTCACGCCTGAGGTTATTTCTGTGATACCTAGAAGCAGAAATTAAGACTCATTTTTATGTTTTATCAGCCCCAGATAGTAGGCCATATACGAACGAACTTCATAAACTTTTCATTAAGCATTAGAATATTACAAGTAAAAGATAAGTAAAGACCTTCTGATCTTGGTAAGAATATGACGTAAACAAATATCTATAGAAAACTATATGTTAGTATTTGAATTTTCTGTATCTATTTAATAATGGATATGAAAAGAGTCCATTATTTATAAGAATTTAAATGTCCTGTTTGTGGAAATATTTGTCATTCACTGAAATATGTTTTGTGTAATTTTGTAGTCCATGATTAAAAATAAAATCAAGTGATAAGAGCTCTCTTAGACTCTGCAGTAATCAATCAGTAACCAGATGGCTAAAGGTTGCTTATCAGGTGATCTTAAGAAGCATGCCCTGGCCCCCAGCCCTTTTAAACCAGATAAAGTTTGACTTTGGTACTTTCTTATTATAATATTTCTTCTCACTCAGGTTCTATTATCAGACTTTTTAGATTTCTATTATACTTAATTTTTCCTTTTAGTTGGGGGTTAAATCAAGATATTGATTGATATTTAGAGTATAATTGATAATTTGAGATGTCATTACTTTCAGGATCATGCCTTAAGGAGGAGTCCTTTAGATAGAAATGCATTTGGTTTAATAATAAGCTGTAGAGTATATTAAGGGTAGCTCAAGGCATGATTTTTGCATGTAAAATGGGATGTTCATTGTACCCTGTCTTCTCCTTTTCTGAATTCTTAACTTTTTTTTGTTGATGAGAACAATTTTTCCAGGCCTTTCGACACAGTATAATTGATTTCCTCACTGCTTCCTGAGGTATTTAGAGAGATGTGATGACCTTAGGATAAATAATGCCTAGACATAATGCTTTTAGGTCTTGAATATGATGTCAATGAAATATATAATGAGATGAAATGAACACACATTATTCATAAACAATCAAGTAATTGATAAATTATTGATGAAGTTACAATAGGCAGATGATTAGGAAACAAAAGTGTTATATGCTGATGATCTGAAAATGCTTGAGGAATGTTAATTAGTTATAACAGACACCTTTTTTTTAAAAACAGTAAAAGAAGACATAACAGAAAAGAAAAGCCCCAAACGGCCTTCTCAGGAACCTTTACCTTATGTTCCTGTGTCACCTAAGTTCCCCAAAACAAAGGTGCATGCTTCTACAGGTAAATAGTATTTATACATCCCAGGAGTGGGAAGGAAAGTCACTCTACTGCCACTTACTATATGCTCTTGGGTGGGGGTATGTATTTACTCGAATCAGTTTAGCAATCAGGCTACTGCTTTGGCAGCTTTGTTGAGTGTTTCATTCCCTTCAGAAGTACACAGTTGTCATTTCTCCTTAGACAAAAAAAAGTTACAGTAACATTTTCCATTCACCTTTGTTGCTGAAAGCTCATAAAAGGAGATTAGAAAAGCCTATTACCTTTCTCCAGTGAAAGTTGCTTTTTAATATATATATTTTTTATTTTTGAGAGAGAGAGAGAGAGAGAGGGTATGGGGCAGGGAGAGAGAATCCCAGGCAGGCTCCACGCTGTCAGCACAGAACTTCATGTGGAGCTCGAACTCTCGAACCAGGAGATCATGACCTGAGCCGAAATCAAGAGTCAGAGGCTTAACCTAGCCACACAGGTGCCCCTCCAGTAACGTTTTAAGTGCCCAAGTAATATACAAGTGTTAGAAGCCAACTGTGGTTATATTATAACAAATAGTTGTGAAGAACTGCATTCCTAAAAATGAATGCTTTAGTGAGGTGTTCACAGCCTTGGTGGCAAGACTGGCAGGGGACAATTGCCATGAGAAACCTAGTGATGTCATGGAATCAATTTGGATTTTAAGACAGAGTCCATTACTATGAATGCCAAGAAGGGGATGACCATGTACTTTGTGTTAGAGGTTTGTAGTTCAGTATAGCATGGCTTAAGTGAACTGTTGAAGATGACAAGATCTTTTGACCTATGAATAGTATTTAAGCTGTAAATCTACTGAAGATAATTGCCTTTGTCTTTTTTTCTTTTAGAAGAATCATTGTCTTCTGAAGGAAATGGCATGCTCAAGGAAGAGAAGCTTCCTGAAGATTCCAAAAGCCCACCACTAAATCCAGCAAGTTCTTTAAATCCTGACAGCAGAAATCCTATAAGCATTCATACTGCAGTCTCCGGGGATTTTTCTCAAAGTGTGCCAGGCACCTCAAGTTCAGCACTGGTGGGAACTAAATCTACCAAGAGTGGTCAATATGAAGTTAAAGTCCAAACGCAGAAGAAAAGTGAAGGTATATTTAAAAACAGTGATTCTCAACCAATGTGTTTTTTTTTCTCCTTAAGTTTTCCATGCCCAAAAATATCCCCCGAGAGTATATCACGTTGGAGAGAAAGTGCCAAAATTGAGGAGTTCGAGTGAGTCCTTCTTGTTTATGTCACTGTCAGGATCAGGCCACTACAAATCACTCTGATCCTCATGGCAGCGTAGAACTGTCTTTGGGAATCTGGATCACCAACCATGTCTCTCATGGAGACTGCTTAGATTCATGGTTCTTATTAATGGTTCCATTGTAATTTATCATTTCATTGGGTACTGTCTGGACTCACAAACAAACCTCCTGTGACTCTGAGGCCTGGAATGATGCACTCCCTCTCCTTTTTGATGTACTCTCTTCATTGTCAAAGGAAGGTCAAAAGAGACCTTTCCTGGCCCTAGCCTGTGTGTGACTCCCATATCTGGGCTCTGGTAATCTGTTGCTGCAGCCGTTTCCCCATTCTCCACACTGTCAGTTACTCCCTCAGACCCACCAAGAGTACTTAACATGTGTAAACACGGCAGCATCCTCTTGCCATTTGGAAAGAGCCAGAATAGTTTTCCATGTGCAAAGATAGCTACCCTTTACCATTTTAAGCACTCAGTAGGTGGGGGTAGGGGTGGGGTGAGGTGGGGTAAGGGTGAGAATTAAGTGTCTTATCCTGTTAGGCATCTCTAGGCAAGGTGAGTAGTGAAGTCATTAGGAACTATCTAACTCAATTGCTTTTCATCATGGATATTATCTATAGGCAACTGCACTGCATATATGCTGTGACATATTACATGGCGTCCTCTTCCATCTCCCGCCCCATGTAGATGGCCTCTGCTTTCAGAGTGACGTTTGCAAGGAGTCTGACAATAGATGTTTTTTCAATAAAGGGGTAATACTTAGGTATTTTCATAAAATACTAGCTTTTGAAGACAGGCTTTCTCCTTAAAAGGCTACAAAAGGTTACTTCTCATGCCGAATATCTCACTTTCAAATGTATGCCTAGCACTACCATACCAAAGTAGTCTGTATTTGGGCTTGAGAAGGCTAGTTTATGGTCTTCCAGGAGTGAAAAGACTAATAGTGATAACATTACTTACTAGTAATTTTCTATCATTAATAATAGAAATCAGCATCATCTTCATCACTATCTGACATGTACCAGGCACATAATATTTTACATAGCCTTATACAGTACATCTTTACAACAATTCCTTGAGATGTATGTGCCTGTTAAAACATTTTCCTGTGAGAAATCTGAGAAGTCAGATTTCTTGACTAAGGCCCCCAGCTAGAAAGGGGCTGGGTCAGTCCTTGAATCCAGGCACTCTAGCTCCAGGCTGTACGCTTAACTTCTGGGCTGCTTCCATCTCCAGTGAATAGGTAAGCATTTCACTTGAAAATTGTCTAGAGGTGTCATTACTATTATTTTCTTTAAGGTATCGGAGCTGTTACTTACCCTGGCTGCTGGTGATGCTCTCACAGCCCTCTGCCCTGCCCCATTATTTGAATGAAATAAATTGTTTATTTTTATTTTAGGAAAGAAATCCAACAACATTGTTGTGGACAGAATCATATCACTTTCATTTTCTTTATTTCAGAAACATTTAGTGTAAGACAAGGCCATTCAGGAAAAAAAGCATGACTGGACTTTGACTATTTTTCACATAATTAGTTTATTTCATGTAATTATTGAGAATAACACTAATGTTTGCAACTTATCTGATTGTTTTGAAGTACAGGCCCAATTAAATCATTTTTCCATAATGGATTAAAAATAGATGATCTTACAGTTGTTTTAACATAAAATTATAGCTTTATACCATAAATTATATTTTTGCCTATGGTTTTTCTGTAGTAATCTCTAAAACTAGTTACATCTTATTTGAGACCTAACTATACCAGTTTCTGATGACATAAACCAGAAAACCCATGAAAAAGTTAATTTTAGAGGTATGATAAGCTTGATTAGCTTTGCCAGTAACTTTTTAATCTCAAATTGAGTCTTTCTTGAGCTAAAGGAGAAGACTTTTCTGTCTAAATTGTTAAAACGCCTTAGGCATGGCATGGTCTATACACCATCATCATTTTCATTTGGGTTGAAACAGCCCAACAGCATTTCTTGGTAGGTATGACCAACATTTTTATCTCTGACAAGTGGAAGGAAGGATATATTTTAGTAGAGTTTTTGTTTCACATCGAAGTTAAAATAGTAAAAGAGAAAACAAATATACTTTTGAGCTACCCATAAAAAAACTTAACCATTGTGAGTTCTTTTGTCTTCCATATTGCTTTGCCCTTTACCTGGGTAAATATCAAAATGCCCCTAAAATGGCTGGACCCCAGATAGGAGAGAAAAGGTATGTCTTTGGTTAATTCATACCAAAACAAAACAAAACAAAACAAAACAAATTTGTGTCGACGGTCCTTGTTTAAAGAAACAGATCTTCCTAGCAAATGACAAAACTCACTTCTGTCACACACTAAACTTTAGAGAGTCAAGTGATCTGGTTAAGTAAATGAATACCTGCTGGTCACAAAGAAATTGCAGCACAACCTGGTGAACAGCACACCTAAAACTTTGTGAGATATGAGTGCTTAATTTATTCTGTGTCTCAATTATTTCTTTTTTTTGACCTATAAACATTCAACCAGAGTATCTATTAATATGCAGTTAAACTTGAGAGAGGTATTCAATATAATGTTAAAGTTACATCTGACATAGCCAAGCAGAAAATAATCCTCATTTCTTCTAAATTCAGATAAGCATTTAAGCCTTAAGAGATGCGAATTTAAAGAGTAAAGTGATGCTAAAAATGTCCATATTGAATACATGGGAGAGATTCAGTAAAAACTAATTCAGTTCTCAAAGATAGTGGGGTTACTGAAATTCATTGATTAAAGTGAATAAATTTAAGCAATTATCAAACCACATCTGGAGACTTGCCATTGTATTTAGCTGGTAAGAGAAACCTAATCCAGATATACTAAGAGGAGAGAGATTGAGAGAAATTCATTGAAATACTTAGAGTAATAGGTTAACTTAGATTAACCTAATTTAACCCAAGCAATGGATCCTTTGCTATCTTTGCCTGTGGCCAACAAGGCCTCAGATTGCTCAGTCTGTTTTATCGTTTTTGAAACTTTAGGGTAAATTCTGAAGCTGCTTTTGTTTTTCGGGAGGTCAGATGGGGTACTCTTGGGTAGCCATCCTCAGGTCATCTCCAGGCTTTCACTGGATTCTACCGTTGGAGTCCTGGGTCCTTGCTGGGGTACTTAGTGGAAGGTTCCAGGAATGAGAGACCATTTCTCCCTACCTAACATCTCTTCTTTCAGGATAATGATCAGGTCAAGTATGATTTGTCTTTTTTCCCCCCCATTGAAGCTCCAAGTTATATAGCTGTACCTGACCCCAGTGTCCTGAAACAAGGCTTCTCTAAGGACCCTTCAACCTGGTCTGTGGATGAAGTGATACAGTTTATGAAACATAAAGATCCTCAAATATCAGGCCCCCTCGCCGACCTCTTCAGGCAACATGTAATGTATCTTTTGATCCGGTTTTCCTGCCGTAATGCCTTTCAATGACCTCTGTGCAGGCCCTTCACTTGGATGGATGCTGATTAGTGTGGATGGTGGGGGAACCCTATCAACTGATTTTTTTTCCATATGTCAGATTACTTGGCCCAAAGTTAGAGTCTTAAATGGTAGACACTGGATCTGTGCTTTAAACGGGTACTCAGGTACCTAAAGTACTACAAGTCTTCAAGTTCTCAAGAGAAGATGATTCAGCATGGCCACTCTCAGATGTCTTCTCCCACAAGGATCCTCCTCCCCTCTCCTCCCTGCTTTACCCCAGGACCGTGAGTAGGAGGGGGTAACCACAAGCTGTGACAGGGTATCCTCCTTGTTAATGATGCCCAATGAGTCCAGCACCCGTAAGATTAAAATGCAGTTTTATTTTAAATAGGAGCTCATTAATCCCAAATAATACGCTTCTGTGACATAAATTGGTTAACTAAGGAAATAAAGAAATTTTAGGAGGATGCCTTGTGTCTATTAAGTAATGTTTATTATCGTCTTTTCTGAGAAATCAGTGACCAAATAGCTTATGTCCTTTGCAGTATTCTAAGAAAATCGGTAGTTTTAGCATTTAATTAGCTTCAGACAACTAATTAGCTTTCAACATAAAGACAACACTATATATAGCACATTTATAGTTTGCATTGATGCTGACATACTCCTCTTCTCAGCCTTTTTAAGAAAGTTAATGACCGTCTGAAATTTGTTTCTACAATTCGTAGTTTTCTACTCTTTATCATAGATATGTAGTATTTTATTAAACACACAGTATTTAAAATCAGATAGTTTGATGCCTAGGCCATTTTTGAAAGATACTGGATTAAATTTTATTTTTCTTAAAATTTGAAGTGAACTTAAAAATTGTCAAATGATGTCTTGCTGTAGAAACTGTATTTTTAATAGTTCTCAGGAAATAAATGCATATTCAGAGAATATATATAGAGAATGTACAACTGCTCTATTTTACATGTTCTTATATATAAATAACTTGACAAAATATGAATGCATTATTAATTATAATTTCCTTTCTCTGTAGGAAATTGATGGGAAGGCTCTGCTACTACTCAAAAGTGATATGATGATGAAGTACATGGGGCTGAAGCTGGGCCCAGCATTAAAGTTGTGTTACTACATTGAAAAACTTAAAGAAGGAAAATACAATTAAAAAGATGTTTATGTTTAGATTGGACAAAATTCTCAGTTGTCCTGATAACTTTTAATTTAAAAATACTTTTATTCTCCTAGCAGCTTTTGTTTGGTAGACAGTCCTCTAAAAGTATGTTATATCCAGAATTGCAAAACAACAGTATAGTCCAGTCTACTTCCTTAAAAACTGTTTAACGTGTTAGCATTAGCATATTCAAATTGGGAGTTCTTTATGTCTTTTTCTTATTTTACAGTTTAAAATGTATCATTTTATTGCACAGTTTACAAATTTATTTCATGCTGGAAACAGAGAAACACCTTTGATTTCAATTAATGTTTATATGTAGAACCAAAACAGCTGAATCCCAAAGGGGAAAGTATCAGGGACTGACAAGTTCTCTTATAAAGTCCGTGAGAAGTTTTCCTTAGAAGAGAATTTAAAGATGCAACTCTAGATATTATCTCTTTCTCCAGATATTTTATGTCTGTTACTGCAATCTTCTGTTCGTGTTCTGCCAGTTTCCAGAAAGGGAAAGCCATATAAATTATTTTCTTTTTGTTATTATTTCTCTCTATGTTGTATTTGTTCATATTTAAAGAAAAAAAGCAAACTTATAAACTTTCATAAAGTGTTCTTAATCAGTTTTTGATAAATTTTGAACAATTATAGGATATATAGAATGGTTGTTTTATGCAGGAGATATTATACTACAAGGTGGTTTGGATGGAGTCAGATTAATGTTTTTTCAATAATATACCTATTGTTTTAAAACATTACATATTTTCGCTAAGCGTAGACATTTAACTGGGCATTCATTTCTCACATCTCTATATGAAGACGCCTGTGCCCAAATTTTTATAAGATATATATTTTATTGTCTGTGTTTATTCCTCATATGGATACTATACCATATTTATATATTATCCTATACCTGTAGGTATACGAACAAATAAATCTCTTCTTTTTGAATTTAATATGGCACTTTGTACTGCCAGAGAGGTGATGGTGAACTATTTATATAGTTAGAGGTTTTTATTCTATAAAAAAGATGTGCATCATTTGCTATCACTATTACCTCTCAGCTTTGTCTTCAGGGGATGAGAAACAATCCGTCGTTGGTTTTCACACAGGGAAGCTCTCTGTCCTATGCAATGTTTCTAGTGAGTTTGCTTAGCTCTGAGCCATTCATTCTGCTACGTTTTGGAAGATGCATTCATTCTGACTTCTCATTTTGGGCTTTATTTTTAAAGTTACAATTTTAAAGGGGAAATGGTGCTATATGTTTATTGTAATTACTTTGTATAACTTTGGTGTAATGTTTATAAGCTATGAGAATCTGTGCTAAACGTCTTAGCCATTTGTTGTAAATGCCAATAAAATATACACCAGGGGCATGAATGTACATTTTCTTTTCCAGGAAACCAAATGTACTTTATATAAGAATGCAACTATTTAAAGGGTGATTTTATCTGTGTTATTCCTTTTGTGTTATAAGACAGAATTCTAATTTAAACCTGGTTTTTCTTCAAATTGTGTGAAGATGCTGGTGCCCAGTTGAACAGTCCTCAGGTGTTTGAATACAATGTTTTACAGTTTTCAGATTTAAAAATATAATAAAGTTTAAAAACCACAGTAATTAATGTCACAGCCTCGGATTTGATTCGATTCGTTTTCACCGCAAGACGTTAACGTTCGCACTTACTAGTTGCTGAAGCAGCACTCTGGTAAGTTCGTGGCTCTCTGTGTCCACATACTTGAGTTTCGACACTTGCCCTCGTTCTACAGAGACGCGGATTCCTAGCAGCAAAGGGCTGCTCTCTCTCGTAGGGCCTGAGACCACACCCCCGGGGAGCAGTCCTCAAAGCCTGCTGCTCGCAGCGGTATTGAAGAGGAAGTCGGAAGCTCCGCACGCCGAGCTCTGCAGCCCTCTGGACACACCGAGCACTTGCCTTCCTCTTTGCGTGATTTCTCGTCGTCCTCGCAACATCTCACGATGGCATTCCAGAGTAGGACTTCCCAGGCTTGAACCCAGGCGCCCCCCGCCCCCCCCCCCCCCCCCCCCCCCCCCCCCCCCCCGCTAGCGTGAAAAGGCCATGCCCTTCTGTAACGCTGCTGGAGATTAAGAACTAAACATCTTGACGAAGGTCCTGCTATTCCAGCGACGTAAGGGATTGTATTCACAGTGGGCTGAGTCCCCGAAGTCCGGGGGAAGTTCCGGGGCTGTTGGCACAGTGAGGTGCCGCGACTGCCTTCTGTTTCCAAGTCCTCTGAGGCTGATCCAGGGAAGGAGGGAGGGTTGTAGGGTATGGTGGACGTGCCGCCCAGGGCTCGCGTTCAGAAAGCGTGGCAGACGGTGTTCCTCCGTTTACCTCCCAGTGGCCTCACCTTTGGTGTCACTGTTGCACGTGCCTTAGGCTGGCCTTCGCTGTTCAAGGGCATTGAGGTCGCGTGGGGTGTACATCCTCCACGAGGACAAAAGTCAATCCGTTGGGAGGGGGCGAACATATTACATGTTCCTTTCATTATGTTTTATTTACACTTTTAAAGATTTCTTAAAAAATAATCTCTACACGCAATGTGGAGCTCGAACCCACAGCCTGGAGATTAAGTGTCACATACCGCACCAACTGAGCCAGTCAGGTACCCCTACATGTCCCTTTTATATGGAGAGAAGACGAGAGAGATGGAGTTCACCTATGTTGACGTACGGACTGACGAACCTAGAGAGTTCCAAAGTGCTGGCTGGTGTCGATACCACCACCCAGCCTTCCTTTCCTTGTTTTTGAAACTTGTATTTATATATTATGAGGAAGAGAGAGAGAAAGCGTGCATACAAGCAAGAGAGAGGGGCGGGGGAGGAAAAGAGAGAGAGAGAGAGAGAGAGAGAGTCCTAAGCAGACTCCAGGCTCAGCACAAAGCCCGATATGGGGATCGACCCCATGACCCTTACATCCCGACCTGAGCCGAAATCGAGAGTCAGACGCTTAACCGCCTGAGCCACTCAGGCTCGGCCCACCCAGCCTTTCTAAGGTCTCCCCTGTGCAGCCTGGAAGCCGCATTTCCCAGGCCCCCTTACCAGTAAGGGGGGTAGATTCTCCCACAAGTGAGGAGGAAGAAGGGAAGGAGAAGCAGTTTTCCGGTGGTGGCTGCCTGGGACAGCCTTTGGCATCAGCAGAAGGCAGACAGGCGTTTGCCCAGTGGCCTCTGGATGTCGTCCTGGGATTTACCCACTTCAGTCATGCAGGAGGCTGAAAGCACTGAGCGAGCTTCCCTGCAACCCTTGTGCTCCCGGATCTCCAGAAACTGCTTCCCTCATCTTGGCCCCCTGCCTTCCAGAAGCTTCTGGTTCTGTATTAAACCACTTCCATTCGAAAGACTTAGAATGTCATGTGTCGCCTCTCAGTCGGCCTCCCTCCCTATGGAAGCTCCCCACTGTCGGGAGGGAGGAGTAGAAGTTGCACACGGAGGGCCCTTTCTGTTCTCTCGTTTCAATAAGCGAGTGCCTTTCATCAGACCTAAGTCTCCTGTGGCCGTGAGATGCGCCATTGTTTTAGGGACCAAACAGGAGAGAAGAATGGTGCCTGGGACATCACACACCGTGATCATATATGCAGGTAATCCCTTGCTTTTTCATTCAGTTATGTCAATTCCCAAACACCCAGCAAACCTTAGGAAAGGAGGCGGAGGGAGTGAGCCTCTTTTGGGAGGTGAGTGAAAGACCCCACAGGCGCGGCATTGCAGGCGGAAGCCAAGAGCAGAACGTCCCTGGTAGCGGCACACACCGGCAATGGTATTTGAAAGTGTATTTTAAAAAGCGGAGATGAGAGAAAGCACCCCCGGAAAGGTGCTAAATGATTGGCAGGCTGCTCGGCATGGAGGACTAAACGAAAGAGTTTCCTCTTTCACACCGCAGGCACCTTGCTGTCCACGTGGGAAAGGAGCATCAAAACTCCAGGGGAGTCTGGGTGGCTCAGCCGCTTGAGCGTCGACTCTTGATTTCGGCTCAGGTCTTGATGCAGGGTGGTGGGATTGAGCCCCACGTCGGGCTCCACGCTGAGCATGGAGCCTGCGTAAGACCCTCTCTCTCTCCCTCTGCCCCCTCCCCCGCTCACTCGCACGTGCCCTCTCTCTCAAAACAAACACAAACCCTCCAAATACCTGGGTAACTTGCAAATGTCCAAGACGTGGCAAAGGTGAAGTAGGCATGAGGTATACCAGATGACCCTTGCCGGGTGGGGAGGAGGAGCCGCCTGCCTGAGGAAGTGTCGCTGGAGCCCCGACCAGAAGGATGAGACCAGAAGGATGATGAGCAGGGGGGCGGAGGGACGTGTGCTTTCAAGGCCAGGGCCACTGAGCAGGGGTGCGGGGAGCTGTGAGAAACGCGCCCATGTCTCTTCTAGTAGATTTGTGGTTCTTTGTTGT